TGAAACTGTTTCTTTACCAAGAAAAAGCAAAAAGTACCCAGAGTAAAAACCTTGTTCTTTATTTAGCAAAAGGCATAGGATATATTTTTCAGTTGAAGAAAACTGGTACATTCAACATGGTTGAGTCAAATTTTTATTATCATTGGCTAACACTTTGCAGTTCAGAATTATTTTCTGAAATTTCAATAGAAATGCTCTATTTCCTTTTTACCTTCCCTTTCTCAAAAGCCCACTGAAATGAGTCTGCAGAGTTATTTCATATACTATATTTTTAAGGAGGGAAACAGTTTTGACAGTTCTCCTTCATAAATGCAAAAGAAAAAAAAAACCTAAATTATTGACATTTCCCTGCAAGTTTTATTCTCTAAATCCTGTATGATTCTCATCCAATCTCCCAGGGGGTACCAAAATTCACATTTTTTTTTTTCTCATCTCTAGGCTTAGTGAGATATGAAGCAGATGGTTAAGCTTTGGCTCTTTCAGGGATGATGCAATATCTCCTATTCCTATGCTTTTTTTTTTTTTTTAACTATTTAGGGCTCTTCAAAGCCTACAATTTCATTTCTTGCAAATCCACATTTTGACTTTTACATGTATTTTTCAATAAAAAATTCTTGTTCTCTATTTTAAAAGACTTTAAACTTATTGATTTAATTAATGTCCATTTACCAAAAGAGACCTTGAGAACATAACAATGGAGACAACAGTATTTCTACCCACACATTGCTGACAGAGTAGACAAAACAGATATTTACAATAATGTGTGGTAGGTGCTAATAGAGTTGTAACTAGAATGTTGAAAGAGCAATTCCTGATATGGACAACTGGGGTCAGGGGCTAAGATGAGGAGTGGGCATGCAGAAGATATTTTTAGTTGCCTACCTGGTAGTTACTTTTCCCATGTGTGAAAATCCCACTTCCTACTATCAAGACAGGGAAGGCCATATGTTTGCATTCCCAGTCATTCCTGTAGCTAGGATATGGACATGGGCCCCATTGTTCGCTAATGAAACTAAGGCATCAAGTGTGCTTATACTACAAATAGACTTGAAGGAAGAGTTCTCCTACATTGCTTTAGGTTGTGAGCATTTGAAATCTCGAATAGCCACAGCCGTTTTGAAAGCATGAAGATATTTAAGACTGAAGGCGAACATACTGAAAATGGCAAAGTGGAAAGACACACACTACTTGCATTTCCAATCGTATCATTGGCCTACCCTGAAGTGTGAAGTGAAGTGAAAGCTGCTCAGTAGTGTTCACTCCAGGTTCTTCTATCCATGGGATTTCCCAGGCAAGAACACTGGAGTGGGTTGCTGTTTTCTTCTCCAGGTCTACCCCGAAGTGCCCCTCTAACCCAGTCTGCTAATCTCTAGGCATGTTGTTATGTTACACAATTAATATCATTACGTAGCCATGGAATACTGGGCTTCCCTGATAGCTCAGGCAGTAAAGAATCTGCCTGCAATGCAGGAGACTGAGGTTCAATCCTTGGGTCAGGAAGATCCCCTGGAGAAGGGAATGGCAACCCACTCCAGTATTCTTGCCAGCAGAATTCCACGGACAGAGGAGCCTGGTGGGTTACAGTCCATGGGGTTGTGAAAGAGTTGGATATGACTGAACAACTAACACACACACATACTGGGTAATTTCACTACAATTCAAAAGAACTGATACAAATATGAGGGAAATTTTCCAGAAAAGGTAATTTTTAATCATTTTAATAAATGAATATGAAATTGCCAAGCTGCCAAGAAGGAGACTGTCACTCCAAACAAAATAAAGACCACATAGGGAAACACTGAATATCAACATAATGCCAAGTGACTAACAGAGATGGAGCTTAGTTTATGTGTCAAAAAATAGGCTGGAAAATAGACTGAATATTTACAGTTTAGTTTAAATATAATCAATATTTTAATATGCTTTTCACAGCCATTTAGTAAGACTTCTTACTGTGCTAAGTTGCTAGATTTTGAAAACACTTTTTTTATGGAAGATAATTAAACAATACTATAACTGATAATAGTTATTGAATGTTCACTCTATGTCACATGCTAAATTAAACACTTTGTGCATTTCTCTTAATACTCACAGAAAATCTACTGTTTGCATATTGCAAATCAGATATAAGGCTATTTGGAAAACTAAATGACTAATATCATCCAACCAGAAAGTGGGTACAGTTAAGACCAAAAACACTCATCTATTGACACAAAGCCTTCTGTCATAACCACTAGAGGAATTATTTTTGTTTTTCAATTTAGGGATCACTGGCATTTTGAGAATAATTTTTTTATTGGGAGTATATTTATCATGTTGACCTCTAGGCATTAAATGCTAGCAGTGTGTTTAGTCATCTTAACAACTCACCAAGACATCCCACATATAAATGTGTGTTTGATACAGATGTTGGACTAAAGCAACCTACTTGCAAATCATATAAGCAGTTATTTTATTCATATTACTTTAAGTTACTGAGACTTTGCTCCAACCTTATACTTCGAAAACAGGTCTCAATGTTTTCTTCTCAAGTCTTTCCCACCTATTGGATGTTAACTAAAATTCTGTGTGTTTGAGTCTCAGATCTATAGAGGTAGCAACTGCCTCTGGAAGAAGTGAAAATTTCCTCATCATTTATTTACAGCATTGTGAATTAAAGACAAAAGGAAGATATTTGTGGAAATGGGAGCAATCATGAAAGTATACTGCTGATGAAAATATTGAATATTAACACAATTAAATGCTAGCAGTGTGTTTAGTCATCTTAACAACTCACCAAGACATCCCACATATAAATGTGTGTTTGATACAGATGTTGGACTAAAGCAACCTACTTGCAAATCATATAAGCAGTTATTTTATTCATATTGCTTTAAGTTACTGAGACTTTGCTCCAACCTTATACTTCCAAAACAGGTCTCAATGTTTTCTTCTCAAGTCTTTCCCACCTATTGGATGTTAACTAAAATTCTGTGTGTTTGAGTCTCAGATCTATAGAGGTAGCAACTGCCTCTGGAAGAAGTGAAAATTTCCTCATCATTTATTTACAGCATTGTGAATTAAAGACAAAAGGAAGATATTTGTGGAAATGGGAGCAATCATGAAAGTATACTGCTGATGAAAATATTGAATATTAACACAAAGGAGATTGGAAGCACCATAGGCAAACATCCTTTATGACACTGTGAAGAACTTCCTACCCTACAATTCTCCAGAATCAAAGGCTTGGAGTAAATAAATTTTCTAGCTCCTTCCATTTTACCTTCACAATCAAACAAACATTTAAAAAGTATGAAAGTCCTCCAAGTGGAAAAACAAAAAGGATAGTGAGATAGTGGTTTTCATAGAATAGTTATCATTTTATATATATAAAATGGAAACCTCAAACTATCAAGTGAGAAGAATGTCTTTATTAGTTAATATGATAGAGGACAGAGGTCTTAGTTAGGTGGGTTTGTTTATTTGGATAATTGTGAAATATGAATAAAAGTTCAATGGGTGTCATAAACATCACTATAAGTAACACAGCTAGTTAAGTACTTCTCTACAGAAGACACATGTCATGAGAATTTAAATTAATCCTCATGAAAGTAATCATTACTATATCAAAGAAAAGGTCTAATGGAACATTTTCTGTTAATAAAAATTGGAAAAGGGAGCCATGGAAGCCTAAGTGAATATAAATTAAGCTGCATAATGTTTTCAGGAACAAATATAAATGCACACATTTTTCTAACATTATACCAGTGCTTGTTCTTTCTACAATTAAGAAATTTGCAAAATTAAATATCAAAATACATATTAAGTCATGTTAGATTATCTATTAGAGTGTTCTTGTTTCAAATAGCTTAAGTTTTGGCAATATTTTAACTGCACTTTAATTAAAATGTAAGAAAATGGAGGATAGTAAAAAAGGAAAAAAGTAAGAACTGAAATTAGTCACCCTTAGGAAATGACCACTATTGTATTGTAAACATTTCTGTAGACTTTTGCATATAGAAAAAAATACATATAAATTGTTGGGATTATTTTAAGTACTTAATATATTTCTCTGTGCCTTATCCTTTTTTATTAAAAATATTGTGTGATAAAGCTTCATTTTGGTAATTCTAATTCCATTTAATGAATATAATAAGGACATGGCAGACTATGTATAAATTTTCCATAGTTTTTTAAGTTTTAGAAATTGGGAACTAGTTTGATGCTCAAAAGTTGCTGCTAAAATTAAAAGTTGTAATAAACCACTCTGTAGGTAATATTTGGCTACCTGTTTTACTTTTAAAATGCAATTTAATGATTAAAAGTGAGATTTTGCAAAACAATTTATTTTTAGAGCTTTTGATGTACTTAAACAAGTTGCCCTCCAATATAATGTCAAAATGTAAACCCCAAACTTCTTTTTATCCCACATCTTAAGCTACACTTGTTAGTATTTTTCATCTGTTGACCCAAGAGCTTATATCATTTTAAATACTTGTGTTCCTATGACCCTCATTTTCTTTGTATTTTCTGACTAGTTTTAGGAACATTTTAGTTAAGGACACCCAGGGATGACAGGAAACTTGGAAAAACTTATGAGGCCTGAACATCCTGGTCCCCACTACCCAATTAATCCATGTGTTAGAAAATTAGGTTCAGTGTGACCTCATTCTAGCACTGTATACTTACTATGCATTTTAAGTATTCTCTGTGAAGGCTACTCCAGAGCAGCCTTGAGGAGAATTAACTACAACCAGTCATGTCTGACTCTCTACGACTGCATGGACTGACAGCCCATGGAATTCTCCATGACAGAATACTGGAGTGGGTAGCCTATCCCTTCTCCAGTGGATCTTCCCGATCCAGGAATCAAACCAGGGTCTCCTACATTGCAGGTGGATTCTTTACCAACTGAGCTATCAGGGAAGCCCCTAACTACATATGCAATAAATAAAGTTCCTTTGTTTAACAATCGCTATGTTGAATAATCTTCCTCTCTTGCCTTTTTGATAACTACAGGGCTGGAATTCAAGAGAGTTGATGTTAATGGAAGACCACCACCTTCAACAGACGATGGAACATTATATAGCCAATATCCAGGTATTGTTTGGGTTTCAATACTGATAGAGAACTAAAGGAGTGTTTCTTTCAGTTAATACCTCAAAATTTATACTGCACCAAAATTAATGTATTTAAATTATAATCTAATTCAAAGAAGCGAAGCACAGCAAATTCTGACATATCCTAAAGCTAGAATCCACTTTAATATTCATCATAGTTTCTTTAAAAATACACATATTCACCCATTGCTTAAAAATATATTTCTATATATATGATTTATGTATATTTATGTATATTTGTGATATATTATAAAAGTATGCATAAGTATATTTTTATGTAGAAAAGTAACATGAAGTTATGTCATCTTATCAGGAGAAAGGCGTTCTACTTTCTTCTTCAGTTACAGACAACTCAGTGTGAAAAAACTTAGCCATTTCAACCTTTTAATTTGTAGGTTTTGGATTTTCAGTCTTCTAATCTGCATGTTTACATTTTTTCTCCTCGGAGTTTGGTAAGGCATGAAAACCATTCCTAAAAATCTTCTTAGGATCATAACAAAGATTCATGTTTTATGCCCATTCAGTTCAGTTCAGAGATACGTCAAATCTGGATATCACTTGTGAACTGAAGTATCTTTACTTTTTGAAGAGTAGATAAGTATATTTTAAAAGCCTAGTGGCTTGTGATCAAAGATCAATCTGGATCAATAATAGAAATCTGTGTTGTATCAAAAAAAAGGAAAGATAATGAGCCTTCTGAATGTATTCATGAAACAAAATCCAAGTATGTGATGCCCAAAGCTACATCTTTTGAGAAATTAGTAGCAGATGATTGGGGAAGTAAAAGTGTAAGCAAACATGAGAGAAAAATAAAATTTTAGGGATTTTGTGTTTTGATTGATATTACCTATGAATAAATCACAGTTTCTAAAAAGTTACAGTGGCTATCTTTCACTATGATTAAATAACCTTTTGAAGTACTCTAAATGTTTGAGCTACCTTAAAATATACTTTAAAAAAAATTAGTCATAATAAAAAGTTAACATTTAGATAAAAACACCCAAGAAAAAAATATACATGTAACTGCCATTTCCTATTTCTGTTACATCTTACTCTAAAGATTGGAGGAAAGATTCAGCAATTAGTACTTCCAAGGCATCAAGTCTCATTGCCTGTGTGCTAAGTCACTTCAGTTGTGTCCAACTATTTGCGACCCTATGGAGTGTAGCCTCCAGACTTCTCTGTCCATGGGATTCTCCATGCAAGAATACTGGAGTGAGTTGTGATGCCCTCCTCCAGGGGGTCTTCCCAACCCAGGAACCCTTGCATCTCTTAAGTCTCCTGCATTGGCAGGACAGCTCTTTACCACTCAGGCCACCTCGGAGGTCCATCAAGTCTCCGTATGCCTGCCAAAATCATGACACCCTCTGAAGAAGTTTCAAACTTCTACCTCTTTCCAAGTGGGCCCTTTATCCAATGATGGTATCTATTTTTACATACTCCTTTTTTTCTACTCATATCTGATTGCACCAGTGTTAAGGACCTGATGCCAGACAGCCAATGAAGTGGTCTAATATAAAAATTCCGCCCAATATGGATGACAGTAAGTAATGTGAGCAATATAGCATTCTTTCCTGTGGTTAATAAGAATAGATTTGGGATTAAGGGTAAAAGCATGACCCAGTTATTTGTTAACTGCATTACTTTGGTCTAGTCATTAAACTTTGTTCCATTATATTTCCCTAAAATGGGAATTTGGAAAGTAATAATGAGTGTATAAAATGTATGTGAAAAGGCTAAAAGGAAAATGTATATGAAGCACCTAATATTATCACCTGGCAAAAGTAGATAGCAACAATATGTTATCTATTATTATTATTAACACTGATATAGTAGTAGATACAGAATGATGCTTCTGCCCTCCAATTACTTTCTGTTCTCCATACTGAAAAGGCAGTCTAGACATTTGTGTATTCCCATCAAATCTAAGTTTACAATTGTTCCTGGATAGTTATAAGGCCTAACTTCAAACATGTGATCTTGATTACTCTTCTTTTCATATGTACTTGAGTTAACTTGAGTGAGCAAAACTCTCTCTTGTTCTAAAAAGTGTATAAGACATAATAGGAAAAAGATTTTAAGGATGAGATTTACCAAAAAAAAAAAGAATTGCACTCCTCCTCCTATTCTGTTTCTAGCAGCAGTTTTTGTTCCTTTGCTTCTAACTTGAACATGGAAGTTAATTTGTGGATATTGAAAAGTTTTTCTTGGGCTTCCCATGTGGTGCCCGTAGTAAAGAACCCACCTGCCAAAGCAGGAGACAGAAGATATGGAGGTTTGATTCTTGGGTCAGGAAGATCCCCTGGACGAGGGCACAGCAACGCATTCCCGTGTTCTTGTCTGGAGAATTTCATGGATAGAGACTGGCAGGCTACAGTCCATAGGGTCACAAAGAGTCAGACACAATTGAAGCAGATATTTGAAGTAGATAATTATAGTGGATTGTTGTGTTGAATATTTTAGTATTGTAATGGATGAATTACAAGTTAGAGATGTGTGGACTATGAAAAAATAAGAAATGTAAATTAGTTCCCAAAAGTTCTGAACACCTGGTATTTTCTCTCAGTTGTTTTATGTCATATCTTCTCTACCTTCCGCACAGAGATTTGGGTTGTATCCATGTTCAGTTCTGGATCATTCTCTCTTTTACTTAGTTGATCGTATTTTCAACAAACTCTTAAACATTTTGATGAAATTATTTTTGATGCATACATAATATCATTTATTATATCTAAAGAAAATACTCAAGAATTCTACTCAATTTTATTTCAAATACTTTCTATAACTGCAAAGATTTAGCATAAGAGAACAAGGGAAAGAGAATGTATAACTTGAAGAGGTTTGGGGTTAGGGACAAATGTTCGGAAATCTGTTTGAATGGCCTATCATAAACAGAATAAAAGTGATGCTACTTTCCACAATGGAAGGAAAACACTGAGCAATCACATGCAAGAAATACTAAAAGTCAAAATTCTAAGCCAAAATCTGCATTTTACTTCATTAATATCTCATCTGTTTAACATTATTTCTTGTTCTTGTTTAGTCACGCAGTCATGTCTGACTCCTTTGCAACCTCACAGAGGTTTTTGCAACCGTGCCAGACTCCTCTTCCATAGGATTCCCCAGAAAAGATTACTGGAGTGAGTTGCCATTTCCTTCTCCAAGGTGCTTCCTACCCAGGGATCAAACCCACTCTTCTGCACTGGCCAAGAGATCTTTATCACTGAGCCACCAGGGAAGTGGATTTAACATTATATTGTATGCTTAATTGGTAAACTATAAGTGCTGTTTCTCTGAGGAAAATTTTGCTGCCTTGGGAATTTCCCCATACCTAACCTAAGTACTTATAGAAGAAAACAGAATAAAAATACTGACTTTTAATAACAGGAGTCACTTGTAGCAGACAAGTCACTTGTAGCAGACAAAGTTCTGGTAGCCTGCATTCGTTTCCTTCCCTCATTTCTGCAATTTCTGACCTTACCACCTCCCACCTTTCTTATTTACTGTCATGAAAAAATATTTATTATTTCAGAGATTTTAAAATAAATGAATTGACTAAATATATCTATACCCCAGAACAGACAAAACAACAATTATTTTCTCAGCATATCACCCAACTCAGACCACATGCTAAGTTTCTTATAAATGTACACAGTACATAAAGCACTTTATCTTCTCCTTAAAAAAAAATTGTCTATTTCAGCTACTTGCAGTGAAGAATAACACAGCTAACTGTGTTTCTCTTACCTTACTCCTACCAGTGTCTGAAATAGCTCCTTTGGCGGGGCAATCTATAATTTGAGTGTAGATAACACCTGCACAAGTGATTCATTAGTTTAAATAGAGATAACACATGTGAACTCGGTGGATTTTTACATTGATATAAATTTAAAATCAAGTTGGATACATACCGTTCCTCAAAAGTTTGGTGTAACTGAGAAGAAAAAAGGAAAGCGGGGCAACTTAGGGCTTTGGGCACTGGGCTCCAGCCTCAGCTTGATGCTTTCTGTATGGCTTTGATCATGATTTTCCTCTTCTAGAAAGCCAAATATTAGCTAATAGCATCTTTAAAATCATCCTAGTGATCTTATATTTGAATACTGTGTTATGCAGACATAATACACTGGATAAATGAATATTAAATCTTTGACTCTTCTCTTTTGAAATTCCTCCTATTGAAAACTTAGCAAATTTGCTTTATTTAAATACACTAACTTCATTACTTAGTATCCTTATATTGTTTTTTAGAAATTGACTTCTACCTTTTTTATTTCACAACTTGCTCCAAATTATTCTTGCTAATTTCTAAAGATTCATTTGTACATTCAAAGACTGAAAAATAGTCACCATCTTTTATATTCAGAGTAATCTGACAAAATAAATTATACCTCATTAAGTTGACTTAGTAATAATATGATAAAGGTTCCTAACTAAATTTTAGTATATTTATTGTAGAATATTTTGAGACATTAGTTTTGGGAATAACAAGATGTTATATCCTGCAGTGACTTTCTCAAAGCATCTAATACACATTAAATACACATCTAATTTGTATATACGTGTGTGTGTGTGTGTGTGTGTGTGTGTGTGTGTGTGTGTGTACACACATGGAATTCTCCAGGCCAGAATACTGGGGTGGGTAGCCTTTCTTTTCTCCAGGGAATATTCCCAATCCAGGGATCAAACCCAGGTCTCCTGCACTGAAGGGAGATTCTTTACCAGCTGAGCTATCAGGGAAACCCAAGAATATTGGAGTGGGTAGCCTTTCCCTTCTTGAGTGGATCTGCCTGGCCCAGGAATCGAACTGAGGTCTCCTGCATTGCAGGCGGATTCTTTACTGTATGAGTGGCATATATATATATATAGTCATTTGAAGTCCCTTGTGGCTCAGAGTGTAACAAATCCCCCTGCAATGAGGGAGACCTGGCTTCGATCCCTGGATCAGGAAGATCCCCTGGAGGAGGACATGGAAACCCACTCCAGGATTCTTGCCTGGAGAATCCCCATGACAGAGGAGCTTGACAGGGCTATAGTCCATGGGGTTGCAAAGAGTTGAACACAACTGAGTGACTAAGCATATAGTCATTTGAACCTAGTAACTGTGTATATTTGTATGTACCAGATTTTCCCCCTTTTTTAGCACCATAACTAAGGTTTCTGAGTCTTCTAAGGTGAAACCATTCATGATGGCATGTAACAAGTCCATTTATTTTTACATATACACCTTTGTTATGTTCCCATGATTATAAACTGCTTTAAAAATGTTTATAGAGACTTCTTCTCAGAGAATATTTTCTAGTCAGCAATTTAAATCTACTTCAGCTCCTCAAAAATGGCAAGGGGAATTTTTTTGGGGGGGGCTGGGGGAAATTTTTGAGAAGAGGTAATACACTGAACCACTTGCATCATGGAAATCTATACTGCCCTAAAAGGAACAGTTAACAAAGTTGTTTGGGGGCTCTACATTAGACATACCTGGAATGTGGGTTACACAAAAGCAATTTCTGGTTACAAGTTAGGATCTCTGGAGGGAGGGTGCCCAAATCAGAATTTTATAAAACTCCTCAGATAATCTTTAGGATTATGAAATTTTAAGCACCTCTAACCCAGAGTGTCTGTCTTTGTTTGTCAGTTCTGAATCACATCTTTATGGAAGTCAGGCCTATAATTTAAAGGGTTTCTCATCTTCATTATATACTAAGCAAACTATCATATGTCTTACAGTGAATACTAGACTCTCAATTTGGAACAAGGGTATCTCTTGTTACTGTGAAGTTCCAATGATCTAATGTGCCCAATCATGCTCCTGAATAAACTGTCAGCCTCTCGCCATTGATTCACCTCCCACTTATTAAGGAAATGGATATTTATTTTAAATGTGAAAGAAATTACAACACTTTACAAATTTTAAAAAGCTGACAATACATAAAACATTAATCCAAAACTAACATGATGTTTTTATTCATTGATTGACATAGCTCTATAATACCTTTCCTTATATGGTTTTAAGCTACAGATACATGAATCATCTTTTTAATTATATTTTCTACAGAGAGAATAAAAAGTTAATCCAATCTTTTCTCATGAGTATGTGATCAAATTTTCATTATCATTATTAGCTTAGAAAAGTTTCTTTCAATTTTATTACTTATTGAAAGTGTTGTGGAAATGTGTATCAGTTTGGGGGACATCTCTCTATGGCTTTTTCTTATATATGAACAGCAAGATTTGGAAGAGTTTTCCATAGACTAATTTCTTGCTTATTGCTCACTACCCACCTAATTCAGATGCCGTTAAGCATATTCATATTGTGACAAGACCACTGGTCCTGCGCCTATGGATCATGATGGTGAGTATGTCATCACAGCGAGTAATAAGCCAATCATACATTAGAGTGGCTACAGATAACTGCACATAAAAGTGACTGCATCATATAAATTATCTTACTAAACACAAATTAAGTATATTATATATGCAAGTCTCTCAAATCAGACTCCAAAAATGTCTACAGTCATTCCTGTACTTATTCTCATCTCTAATTTCACCTTTCTCGGTAGTAAGCACTACAATTCACCCATCTGCTCAAATTGTGTTTTCCAAGTATTAACTATATCTATTTGGTTTGATTTTACGAGACAGAACAAGAAAAAACAATTCTTGGTACTTAAAATTTAACTTAAAATTCTATTACTATTTTTAGGCAGAGACCTGGGGCTATGTTTAAACCTCTGCTCCTCAAACAACTCACATATACAATGAGTCATTAAATTATGGTACTTTTATTTCCTACTTCCTATTTAGCACTAGTATCTCATCCCTTCTTCCACTCCAATTGGCATGCCCATAGTCTGTCAAGAGCATCTCCTTCCTAGAGCCCCATAGCAGCCTCCTCCTGCATTAAGTTTCGTCCCCCGCCCCAACTCATTCTCTAGACTGTTCTCTTCATTAGAATGTGCATTTAGTCATTTAAAATCTCTGCTTAATTTCTCCAAAAACTTAGAATGAAGTTTTTGTCCAACATTAGTAAACACAGTGCAAAAGATCTTCAGAATTGAATCCACAATTTTTCCCTTTCTCCTGCAAACCCAGGGATCTAGCCAGAGCTGAATGACTTTGGTCTTTCACTACAGTATATATTTTCTTGCCTCAGTGTCTTGATAGATTCTGAACCATTGCTTAGTCCACTCTTCTCTTTTCACCTGTTTCTTATACTAGGTCTATCTTACATCTCAATTTACAAGTCAGATGTTATAGGAGATATGACTCCTGTACTTTTCACTGGAACTTTGATTTTTCTGTTCTCATGATATTCGTCATATTTTACTTTCACACTTTGTTCAGTTGTCTACCTTTGCCCCTAGATCATAAGCCTAATTGAAACTAGAAGCAATGCCTTGCTCATTATTTTCTGCCACATATATTAAACCCAATAAGTATTTATTAGAATACACAAAGAAACTAAAATAAATAAAAATATTAGGAATCAAACACAGGAGGCATTTTTATGGTATCAGTAAAGTTATTTAAATGGTCCATAAATTTTCCAATGTATAAATCAGGAATAATGATATACACCTCATGGATATGTTGTGAAAATTATTAATATTACATATAAAACATGAACAGTCCATGGCATGTGCACTGGAAGCACTCAAAAATGGAGTATACTATCATTAATTAAGTTTGTATCTCTTCACATTAACTTTGAAGTTTATTTTTTGGCATATTCACTTTGGCTAGCTAAAAATACTATCAATCGTTTCATTGGTCAAACCACTGATCAAGAAATCCTAATTCTCATTTTTTTCTCTTGGTTCAATGAATTTCTATGCTGTAAATATTGATCAATGGACACTCCAATGGGAATAACTTCTTTACCAATAGGAAAGTGTCATTTTACATTACACTGTGATATTCTTTTATCATTTTCATATGCTTTTATGTTCTTGACCAGGGTTTTCCTCTGTATATTATTTTTACAAGAAACAACAGCCTCTGATGAGGGCATTATTAGAATGACTATCTCTCAAAAAATCTTTTTTTCTATGGTTCATTTCTTTTTTCTTAAAGAATGAATCCATTTTCACAATTACATATTTTCCTTTTTTAATAAAATTCTGCCAGCTAAAATTGACACAGAGAATTGATCATTTGGTGGGCAATCACTATTTTCTCTCTCTCTCTCTCTCACACACACACACACACAATTTGAGTGAACAAAATGAATCACTTATAAAAAAAATGAGTGAGTAGGCAAATAAAAACAATAGTATATGAATTGAGGTAAATGGACTGCAACATAATCTTTCACAAAAATACCTATTTTTCTTATCCAAATTGTCTTTCTGTGAGCTTGAAAAGATTGTGCTGTTCTGGTAAATTGAAATTACTATGTTGACTATTTTGACAATGCAATCAAATGGTTCAGTCATTCTGTGATCACTAGCTTCTCTGGAAGAATTACAGTCACAGGGACATCTAATGCTGTAAAAAATAATTCTCAATGTAATTTTCAAAAATCTTCTGGTTATAAATAATAATAGAGATGTAAATTGTATTTCAACTACGAGAACTTGTTTTCACATTTAGTCTTTACGAAACTTAAACAAATGTATATACGGAACATGGTATATGTGCACAGCTTCAACTGTTCATTCAAATTAAATCTTTTTCATTTGTATTATAAAAATGAATTGAACCATATACTTCTAAAGAAAAGTTTACCTTTCATTTCACACCGGTGAAAAAATACTACTCTTTTTGCATTATCTCAAAGTTCTCCCACAAATTCTATGCATTGAACTCTATTATAAATACTATTTTGAAAACAGTCAATATCACTCTCCTTAAAAGGAAACAAGACATTCTGAATAAAAAGCAAGATGCAGACACTAAGATACCTAAAATTATAGTTTCACAAATAAAATTTCTTGATTATTTTTTCTTATGTCATTATCACTAAATCAAACAAAGTAGTTCTACTCAGTAAAATGATAATAATCTAATAAATATGCAATTTCTTTCTCTGTATTCAATCCTGCAACAGCACATATATTTTTACTCTTTAAAAGTCTCTAATTTTTTGATAAATTATAAAGTTTATTATTTTGAACACTGCCCCTACCACTTAAATTTAGGAGAACAAAGTTTGCTTTTGTTACTTAGAGTATGTTATTAGTTTTGTGTCCGCTTTTTATTATAGCACTTTCACCACCAATGTAGGAAATGAAGGAAATATTCATGTATTTTGGGGCCTCAATAAAAAGCAATTTCAAGGCAATATGAATTTTATAGGAAAAAGTCTCACCCAATATACTTCAGAGTATAATAGTTACAGAGAGAAAAGAATAGTATATTTATCAATTAATAAACATCCATATAACTTTTTAGAGTAAAATTCTGTCCTAGTCTCATACAAACATGAAAAACCTTAAGACAATAATAATTTAGCAATAAAATTAATCATAAATGAAAAATAGCAATGCACATTTCGGAGAGCAAGTCATTTGACCAGAAAATGACACTATCATACCTCTGACACCTAGCACATGACAAGCATTCAATACATGATCGTTGAAGAAATAGATGAAGTTTTTTACACAGATGTGTGTGCCAAGGGCTAAGGAGATAGAAAGAGAAGTACCCTTCCCTTTTTTTCAGGAGTAGAGAAAAGTGGAATAAAATAAAGAAAGACTCAAAAGAGAAACTCTTTGATCTGGCTTGAAAGGTAGATATGGACTTCCCAGGCATAGAAGGGGATGATGAAAGAAGTAAAGTTTACCACTTGAAGAGGTTTAGGAAGGTAAGGGCATTTCAGGAAGAAGAAATAATTTAAATAAAAGGCACTATTGAGAATAACATGCTCAACTGTTTTGGACTTCATTGTTAGACGTTTCCCTGGTTGTTTTTCGGGGCTTACCTGGTAGCTCAGATGGTAAAGTGTCTGTCTGCAATGAGGGAGACCTGGGTTCAATCCCTGGGTCTGGAAGATCCCCTGGAGGAGGAAATGGCAACCCACTCCAGTACTTTTGCCTGGAAAATTCCATGGATGGAGGAGCCTGGTGGGCTACAGTCCATGGGATCACAAAGAGTTGGACACAACTGAGTAACTTCACTGTGTTCACTGTGTGTTAGAGGTTTGCCACTGAATGGTTTAAAGAATGTTTTAAACATTGTTTTAAAAAAGAAGCATCTCATTATGTGACAGAAGGAGAACTTTGTCAGCAGTTTGGTGAATGACTCAGAGATGGAAAATCTTGAGGAAAGTAGGCAAATTAATTAACGAGATAATGCAACGCTTTCCACCCCCAGAAGACCCAGGTCATTTCCTGGGTCAGGAAGATCACCTGGAGAAGAGAATAGCTACCCTCTCCAGCATTCTTGCCTGGAGAATTCCATAGACAGAGGAGCCTGGCAGGCTACAGTCTGTATGCTTAGCCAGTCAGTCATGTTTCACTCTAGGATCCCATGTACTGTAGCCCTCCATGATCCTCTGCTCATGGGATTCTTCAGGCAAGAATATTGGAGTGGGTTGCCATGCCCTCCTCAGACTACAGTCTATGGGGTTGCAAAGAGTCTCATACCACTAAGCAACTAACACTTTCAGTTTCACAACACCTGCTCAGCCATATAGCTAAGAGGGCCTAAACTTGGATAATGAAAAAAGAAAGAAGAGATGGAAGTAAAATTGCCATTTCAGAGGTGAAATGGATGGCATCAAAGGGATCAGTGTGAAAACACTGCAGGAAATGAAATTGTACCTGGTTCTCTTGAGTGGATACACCATTCAATGAAGTAGATGGTTGGGGGTGGGGGGGGATCAGTGGGACAGATAAGCTCTATTTTCAAGAATATGAGATTGAAGGGGGGAATATGAGATTGAAGGGGATGATGTGAGATTTAGGGCAAAATGTTCAAAAGCTGTTAGAAATGTGATTCTTTGATAAAGGTGGGAAGTTGGAGTCATCATGTTGGTTCATAGTGTCCAATTTCATAAGGGTTGGAAGGAGAGGAAACTGCACACTTAGAAAGAAAGTAACTGTAAAACTTTGAAGTGATTTTGAAAAAACAAGAAAAATCTTATTTACAGTAGCCCAAGGAAGTTAAGATGATAAAAAACAATGGTGGACTGACATTTTCCAGAATAAAGGGGAAAACTCCAAGTGAATGAGAAAATAAGAGTTGAAATTGGAGTAGAGGTATAGCTGTTTATTTGTCATATTTGCTGTTTTTCAAAGAATATAAACATGGGGAAAACTGTAAACTGAGGAAACAAAGCCAAGGATGTATAAAGATTAGTAGATAGTTTAAGAGGAAGATCATGATGGAGTTAACATGTTTTAAAAAAATCACAGAGAAAAACATAGAAATCATTTAAAGGATAATTTATGAGATCTTTTTTTCAAAGACAAATGAATATCTAGATAATTTAAAGTATGATTAATAATGATAGAGTAGAAGAAAATTGAAAAAGTTCATATTTGATGAATTATTTTCTTTGTAGACTAAAGGTAAATTGGGATGGAGGGTTTGAAAAGAGTGGTAAAAGTTTGACACAGCTCTTGTTCAAAATATTTCTGGAAAATGACAGCCATAAAATGGCATTAAAAATCTTACTTCTTGATTCATTGATAGCATTTGTTCACCCAATTGAATTAATATTTTTCAGACAGAGTTCAGTAAACTCTAACAACTCTATAGTTGTTAGATACAGTTTTGAACTATATCTTTGCCCTATTGGGCTGATTTCTACCAAAATATTTATTTCTTCCTCGTTATTTCTTCTTCCTTTTACATGGCTGTGAGAATTATTGATCTTTGACTATCATAGAACACATTATTATAATAGTAAATATATTATTATTCATATAATCCCTCAAAGAATGTTGATATTTGTTGACTCTGCTTGGCATGGACAGTAGGGCATCAGATCTATGTTTAGATTTGGTCCCTACATTTATACCATCCTTTAGTGTTCATTGAGGCCTCAACCCTTTCCATCTGCCCGAGTGTCTATCATGCCCTGTTCCTTTCCTTTCTGTTCAACACAGAATTAGTTAGATTTGAAGAACTGAGGAAACCAAAATATACCAAAACTGGTTTACTTTAGGAAAGCTACTAGATGAAGGTGAGAACAGGTTGAGAAGTTGAATGAAGGAAGGCAAAAATGAAAAGGTTCGTAGTAGGAGAATGGGGAAGAGGAACAGGAAACAGTTTTTAGTAACTGTCACTCTGTGGAAATTGTTAGAAAAAAGATATTTAATACCATTTGTTCTCTTTTGTGGAATGAATTCCCTTCAACTGCTTTGCAAAGGATTCCAGTACAGATGTAATTTCTTTTTTTAATACTTAAAAAAAATTAGTTTGGCTATTGCTTTGAATGAAACATGAGGAGATCATGTTGTCAGGTTATCACTTTAGTCCAGTAACAAAAATATTCTTTATCTGATGGCCTACATGATAGGTCTAACCATGTTCACATTAAATGTGGGCAGTAGAATATCAGGAAATTCAAAATAATATTTATACATAAACTGAGCTGGTGAGAAACACAAGTACTAATTTTCCTAAATTAAATGGCCTCTGTGACTCTAAAGCACCATCTTTCTCTATGTTTCTTAATAGACATGTTTGGATACATCATATAAATTAGTTTCAANTTCAAAATAATATTTATACATAAACTGAGCTGGTGAGAAACACAAGTACTAATTTTCCTAAATTAAATGGCCTCTGTGACTCTAAAGCACCATCTTTCTCTATGTTTCTTAATAGACATGTTTGGATAAATCATATAGATTAGTTTAAATTAATTTCTCTATCTGCCTCTTAGCTCCAATCCAAACCCCCCCAAGAAAAGACTTTCTCAAGTGTCCATCTATAAAATTCCCATGGATTCTATGAAAAATATTCACCCAAATGAAGACATTTTGAAAGGGAGGGAGAGTGGCATTTAATACATGATTCAAAAAATTATTTTTCTATAAAGCAACTATAATAAAAGATACAAATAAGNTTATTTTTCTATAAAGCAACTATAATAAAAGATACAAATAAGTAAATATTTGTCTATAAAGCAACTACCAACAAAAGATACATGAGTAAGTGAAAGAGTAAAACAGAGGACTTACTAAATGGATAAGAACGTCTCTCCATTCAGTTCCATAAATAACCAGTTCATTTCTCATTATTTACTGTCATATTTTATTTAAATAAACAGATTTTTAAAATCAAATTTAGTATAGTATTAAAAGATATTGAAATGCATTAAAAAACAAAAATGTATATTTTTATCATGTTAAATTGTATATTATATGGCTAAAAAATGGTAGGTAGTGTTATATATGTATATAAGGGGGCACATTTAAAGCATTTGATAATAATAACATATATTATATACAAACATACATTCATTCCTTAGTTGAAAAGTTAACATCTAAATGACTATATTTAGACTAGAAAATTACGTATTGGTGGTTTAGTCACCAAGTTTTGTCCCACTCTTTAGACCCCATGGATGGTAGCCTGCCAGGCTCCTCTGTCCATAGGATTTTCCAGCCAAGAATACTGGAGTGGGTTTCCATTTCTTTCTCCAGAAAGTTATGAATACATTTTAATAACAGATTCAAGTGTTGAATACATAATAGATAAGTCAAAATAATGGATAACTGGCTTGACATGGTATCCTTAAGGATAAATATAATAAAATGAAATGAGTCCTATTTATATGCTGAGACATTTGCGTAATGAATATTTGTGTAATTAGGGATAGAACCCACTGTATTAAATTACCTTTTGAGAACCTAGAGGCATTGTGAATTGAGATGATTATAAAGGGTTAAGTCAAAATATTATAGCAATTATTCTATAAAGTTATATTGATGTAATTTACCATTTATTAGGATGATTAAATGTAGTGAGACAGACATAGAGAACAGACTTATGGACAAGGGGAGTGAAGGGGGAGGAAAGAAAGGGTGGGATGTATGGAGAGAGAAATATGGAAACTTACATTATTGTACATAAAATAGATAGCCAATGGGAGTTTGCAGTATGACCCAGGGAACATGGGCTCTGTAACAACCTAGAAGTATGGGAAGGGGAAGAAGGTGGGAGGGGGATTCAAGAGGGAGGGGACATATGTATACCTATGGCTGATTTATGTTAATGTTTGGCAGAAACAACACAATTCTGTAGAGCAATTATCCTTCAATTAAAAAAATAAATTAATTAAAAAATTAAAAATATATTTAAAACTATTTGCAAATGTTTATATAGATTCATTGCTAATATTCATATCTAAAAGTATTTAGGTTTTCCACCACATAAACATGAGAAAATGTGAAATGGATATGATACATCTATGATAGATATATTTCTATAAATAAAACTTATTTCCTCTGTTCTATTTTTTCTCCTTTTCCCAAAGACCTCACAGTGTTTCATGTTTTGAAATCTTTCCTCTAACCAGGAAAAATCAAGCAGCTGCTACAGATAAAATGAGCATCACCAGCAGATATTAAAACTGTCACCTGATGGAAACTGGGGCTCAACATTAGGCCTTCAAGCAATAACCAGCAGTATAATTTTGTAACTCATATATCAATTAACTTTATATTACTGTCACACATGACACTAACAGCTAACAATATTTCTTCATGCTGCTATCTTAATTGCAAAGTATGGGTGCTGAACGTGAATTTCTCAAGATAAAAATATGTCCTATTAAAAAGTATCTAAGCTGTTTGGCAAAATTTATTAGAAATCTATAAATCTAATGGTAGGAAGATTTTTATCTTAATTTTTAAATAATCTTCAGAATTAATGCAGACTTTATAGTATATAAAGTGATTTCGTATAATTTGGAAATTTAAAAATATGTTTTCACATAGTGATTTTCTATAAAATCATTGTTACCTATATAAATTCAACACAATAATGGAATCAAGTAGTGCCTAGGATTTATGGTAGCAGTGTTTGAGGACCTAGAGAGATGTGATTTTATTTGAGGTTAATATTATTCAGACTAGTAGTTATAGAAGATTGGAAAAGACAACCAACTTTAGAATGTTTGGAGACTATCTTAAGGAAATAGACTGTCAGGGAAAGATGGCAGAGGTGATGTTTGTTTTAAGGGTAATGAGAATGAGGAAGGGAATCTTTAAAGATGAATTGATAAAAGTTTTTATTAAAGGGAAATACATTAAAATTAATAGTGATGGGCTGTGAAAAGACTTTTTTTTTCAGATTTCCCCTTTTTATCTTTAAAATAATAAATGTTTTAAATCAAATTAGAAGGTTTTTCTTAATTTTCAACCCCTGGGTAAACTTCTATTTTTCTGTAAATCATATGAAACAATAAAAATAAATTTAATATATGTATACTTGTAATTATGATGAGAATATCATTAGCTTTCATCATAATCTTACAGGCACTTCTGACCTTAAAAAGGTTAGAAGCACTGGTTGATTTATCACTGCATTTCCATAACATATTCTATGATAATGAGGCTTTTGCAAAGATAGACGAAATAAGCTTGGTAGACTGAAAGTTGTTAAAAGAAACTGTTTTTCTTCTGCCCAGGCATCCAGTACCATGTTTTGTACATAATAAGTGGAAGTTACTGAACGCTGTTTGAGTGAATAAATGGATGAATGAATAAAAATAAATTGCTAGATGGATGACCCAAGAACTTTTTGTCTAGGTAGTATTAGAATATTAATCTTTATCAACACATTAAACCTGAATGTTCTCCAGTAAAAATTCAGCTAAGAAGTTAATTTTCTCACATCAAACTCCCAGAGAAGTCTTTGCAATGTTTATATAATTGATGTGATTAAAAATATATGACAGATAGTTGTGGATATTCAAGGAAAACTGAAACAAGGAGCCCAAGGGAGCAAATAGGAGTATTTGTTGACCCAATTAGGTTCACATGGGTTTAGGAAAACAAAAAGTTGTCAACCCACAATAAACAACCTCATATTACATTGCATTGATTAACTAAACATATTTATTGGGCATTGCATATATAGCAAATCTTAGGCTAGAAGTGAGGTATATAAAAATTTAAAATCAGTGTAATCTACAATCTAAGCTATCACATAGTCTGGTGGATACAAAGACAGGACAACCAACACATCAAATAACTACTATTGGAGGCATAAACAAATTGATTCTTCCTTCTCATCACTCTACTAAAGTATGATAAGCTGGGATTTCTTTAAGCCTTTGGGAAGACAAAATTAAGGAATAAGTGATAAGCATACCATTAAATATATTTCTCCTTTGTACTCAGCATATTTGGACATTTGACTTCCCATATACATACTCATTGATCCTCCTATAAAGGACATTTCTCTGTATTTTGGCTGAATGTTTCAGCATGCCTCAATGATATGATAATTGGGTACTAATATACAAATTGTAACTTTTTAGAATGAAATTTTCTTATTTGCTTTTTCACTGGAGGAACTATTTCTCAAGGCAGGCTGAATTTATTCAGTATAGAAATCCATTCCTTTCTAGGATACAAAATGTTTCACAGTGGAGT